AAAGACAAGCCAATGATGATTATATGGGTGTGCGATAGACTTACCTCCACGTGGTGAATCCTAGGCAACGTATATTCATACGGCAAAAAAGTCTATTGACTGGCAGTTGACTTCTCACTTCAAACTACCATCACCTCACTTTATGCCATATTCGACTATTTCCACAGTACTCACCTCACCTTTTTTCTACCTTTGTGTTTGTCTCTTACATCTTGGAAACACTTTTCTGTTCCCCCCCCCTCTCTCGACTTTTTTCAATTTGATGTTCCTTCCCCTCTGTGAAGCCTGAAGTCAACTAAAGGGCTAATGATAACCATCAAGACGCCTGCCATTTGATATAAATTAATAAATAAATGATGATTATATTCCAATGCCAACATAGTGAAAAACACACACCTTCCTCGCAGAGGCTATAAAGGCGTGGGATACGACACCTCAAGAGCCCTAAGCCATGAACTTCAAAGTCATGAATCGTAAGTAACTTATATCAGAGACATAACTACCGAGTCAATATTTTTAGAAGTTATAAGTGTTCTAATGTGCCCCTTATTGGAATAAACAAGCGTTTTCTAGTTTGAAAGATTGCACTAACTGTAGTCATAGCAGGCAGAAGAAGAATATTTATTCCAAACTAAGAGTTGGGAAACGGAAGATTCTCAAATCGTTATCCGAGGAGTCATTAGAAATCAATTAACAGAGCAGGGGATAGAAGTTATAATTAATTAAAATTGGGAAAGGTAGTCGTTAGAAAAGTCATTCTCAAAATGTGCCATTCGGATAAATAAAAGACATAGAGATGTTTAATTGGAATAAACGGTGAAAAGAACTAGAGTGGTGTGAAAATCGATTGCTAGTTATTCAGAATAACCCGTTAAAGAATAAACTACGGCTATAATAGAATGTAATTAGCATTCGAGATATATACCACAACAGATAGCCTGAACTAAAATATAACATTTCACAATGAGAAGAGCATGCTAATTCTTATAGAAATAAGCATAAGATAGTGTTATAATTGCTTTCCTTATATATCAAATAATTGAAATTTGTTAAGTGGTATCAAATAAGTGATTCAATAACGATTGAGTTATAATCGCAAAGTTAATACCACGAGTCAATAAAAAAGGCCTTCTTATTTACACCCACTAATTAGCATGAAATATTTTCAAACGGTGGGATTAATTTTTAAAGGTAATGGAATAAAAACTTTCCTTGTTTCAGCAATATTGGTAGCAATGACAATCTTTCGCTTTCCATGCGGTGGCTTGCCGAAAACAGCGCACTGATTTGCCATCGTAAGACGAGAGTGTAGCGGATAGAGCACGGCACTGCTCCCATGCCCATTTCCATAAAATTGGCCATCAATTCTGCGAAGCTCTTTCATTACATCCTTTATCTCCTAATGGCAAAAGAAAATACGATTGGCAACTACGAGGTGGGATGAGGAATTTCAAGAATAATCGAATTAAAACGAACCCCAATTCCAGGAACAAATACCAAGATGGCACCAGGATCACATCTCCTAGCGATATAATCAATGACAGCTGCAATAAATTCTGGCGGGGCACAGACGTTAATATCCATTGCACTGAGAAATTGCTTACTACCGAGGCCTAGACTACAAAAATTAGACTTAAAATAACACCCTACTTTACATTAGTAAGTAGCATGTATTAGTGGACTTGCCCAGGACATTCGTGCACCCAGCGTTTAAATTTTTTACGAATGTCGGCATTAATATTAGGTTCACCTACAGACCCAGAACGATATTTGCTCTGGCGTTGGTTAAATCTTTCGAATCGTTGCAGTGCGTCCATTGGCATTTGGTAACTGAAAACAGGAAAAGAGTGCCTAGAGGAAACCAGCTCTAACTTCTAAATAAATATTGTTTATAATTTTTCGTAATGCACTACGTCGCGGAAAAAGGCAAGAAATAGGATTTTAATAATCTACTAATTAATGCAAGCTCCCATTTTAAAATGAGTAAATTTGACTTCTTGGTAATGTTCTAAGCAGAGCAACTTGCATAGCAATAAGAATTAGCATCGTTGATATCAAAGTGCTTACCCAGTTTTACGCAATACTTCTTCAAGGAATAAAGACTCAACGGGAAATGTACGGCCAGGAATCTCCAAATGAGGGCAATTACCTAGGGGGGGGGGGGGTTAGAAGCAAAAAACTTCATTCTTCAATTAATTCACACGAGCAACTTCATTCAAATCGACTGTAAATGAGCTTACCGAAGAACTCTGAGAATTTCAACGAATTCATGGTGGCAGACATGAGGATTACACGCAAGTCGGGGCGCAGTGGTAAAATGCGTTTGAGCATAGCAATCAGAAAGTCGCCAAGCATTTCGCGTTCGTGAACTTCATCCACTACAATATGGCTAACTGACTAAAAATGGAAAAAGAGCTAAATGCTGATCGAAACAAACCGTTTAACATAACTGGACATTATATCGGCCGGAATATTTTGCATTGCTTAATTTATAACGAATGGACTGTTACAGTTGGGACTAATGGCGTTAATTCATAATCTCGAACCTAGGAGATGTCGGGAAACAAGACCTCTTTCTCCAGGCTGTCTATAAGTCGTTCATTGCTCCTTTAAATATGAATGGTGGGTCTTGACTGGAAGTAGGCTTACGATCAAATGTCAACCACGTGAAGGCGCCTATTCATATGAGAACTTCATAGGGTTATGAAAATAACTTGAGGCGACTAGACAACTGTCATCACCCTTCGTTGCGGTCTAAGTAATTATCATTACTATATTCTCAAATCATTATAATACTGACAGTAAGAAAGATTCACCTACCTTATGGTGAGTTGGGCTTTACTACTAAGCTACAGCACACTTTAACTAGCATTTAGCAGAAATAGTAAGCAGACGCTTAGGGGAGAAGGAAGTTGGACCTTAATGCTATGTAGTGATGATGATTACTGAATTTTCAATAAACAAGCAAGTTACGAACTTGAAGAAGTGGATCACTATGGAACCACTGAAGAACAACACCCGTGGTACAAAATAGGATAGATCCTTGAGGACGAGCGGGAAATTTTGAATCTAGACGTATCTAAAAGGGCAATAGCAACCATTATATTAACAATACTTATAACAACCGATTAAAGGAGTATTCCACACACCTGATACCCGATATCCATTCCCAGAGACTCCCCACGTTCACTGGCGACCCGTTCAGCGACTGAGATAGCCGAGATACGACGGGGCTGTGTGACGACAATGCGAGTGCAAGAGCCATTATCTCTTAGAACTGCGTGTTCCAACAAGTACTGAGGAAGCTGAGTGGTTTTACCACTGCCTGTTTCACCGCTAATCACAACTACCTGGTTTCTGTCGACCAGATCAAGGAATTCCTTTTGATATAAAATAAAATAACTAAAATTGAATGGAGAAAACGAGCAGATTTTCATTCCTCCTATTAGGCCCAAGATGACTCCCTCTTCAAATAAAAAATTCAAAATCGCAAAATGGAAGGCGTCCATACCACCCGATCAAGTGATTTCTGACTTATCAGGCGATACATCGAGCACAAATGGTTTCTAACACAGTTTAAAACATAAATAGAACGTGTTTATCATGAGATCAAAGAGGCGAGGAGAAAAGATGCAAAATCGATGTCACCGTCCACTTCCTCACAAATAAGTAATGTACTCAATACTTTTTAATAATTAGAACTCATAAATTGGTGAAATTATAATCATTCAGAAAACACTGGCCACTAACTTGACATAAATTACCCATTTTAATGCGTTTCAGTCATTAGCCAATGTTATTCAACATACCCTCTCTGTTAGATTGTTAAGTACTATCTCATGTTGCTGTCACATTTCTTAGATCCCTAAGCTAATTCATGATTAGTCGATTACAATGCTTTATAGTAATTACGCCATATAAAAGCAATAAATATTGACTCAAACAGCGCTAGCCAAATAAGTGAGCTCAATTATAAAATCTTGAAGATGAAGTAAAATATGGAAAAAATCGAATTCCGAATAGCATACCTGTTTTTTCACAAACGTGGGCAGTTGTTTACGATTGCAATTCATAGACTTATAGGGCTGTGATAGTAATTTTCGTGTCATATCTTCCCTTAGCTTCCTATCGAGCTCTCCGTTCTTTTGCAAATTTACAAAGTTCAACGCGGTTGCGGCTTCCTGCTCAGCGTCATCAACCAAGGCTTCATCGAAATCTCGCTCTTCAAGAATTTCAATTACATTAGTTGGCGAAGCCGTGGGTTGACACTTTGATTTCTTTTTCTTAGGGGAGAAGGCTCCCTGTTTTTCAACCTCTTTGACAACAATAGCCATCCTTTCAACGATTCTTTGCTCAAGTGTAAACGCTTCTGCCTTAATGGGCAGGAAAAATATAAGCAATATTTGAATAATAACAAATTGAGAACAGCATTTAAGAATAATTGGATTAAAAATGACCAAACAACATATAAATAATTACCTCCGATGAAAGAACAGTATCCTTATTTTGTTTGGCTTGCTGTGCATACCATAGGCCTATTTCCTTCCCTTTTAGGTGAGGTGGATGTTTGGGAGGCATAATGAAGTACGCTCAACCACCGTTGAATCGAAGCCACCCCAAGGTCGACAAGAAATATATATGTGGAAGCAAGCAATTTACGTTTCCTACTTTGTATTGTTAATCTCAAAGGTTAATTTCAATTAATTTTGGAAATCATAAACATTTTTCTCCATATATATAAAAAATGTTGGAGTACATTTGTTATAAACATACCATCCAAAGTTAGGGAAGAAATTAAACTTTTCACTAATTTAGCAGGTTAAAATGTGGAATAATTGAATAAATTATAAAAGGTTATTGGCAACTTTTAAAAATAATCTATTGTTCTAATTTATAAACGTCAACGAACTAGAATGTATCATAGGAAAAATTAACTTTTGAATACTAGATATAAAAAATCTTGGCTTTGTGTATACACATTCAGCATGAACATAACTATTAAAAATTGTTTTACTTATTATTACAGCTATTTCGATTTTTGATATTCATTTTTTATGGCTTACTTAATTTTATTAGCCTTAGAGACCGTTCTTTGTTTTACTGGCTTTAATGACTCGTGCATTATCAATTTCGCTCGCCAAATGCAACTAGCTCGTTGTTTCAATTTCCCTCGTGTTGTAACTCGTTATCTTGCGTAAGATATATTTTTCATTACTTTGGTCAAGTCAGTCAAGAAATCCGTTAAGTGTCACATGCCGTCGTTTTGTAGAAACTCATTCTCGAAGCAAGAGGGTAGGTCGTGCAATTTTTTAAATTATTCCTTTCTAGCGAAAATTCCCCTACTTGCAATGGGGATTTTTCTTTGTCTCCACCGCTGCTATCGCGTATTTCAGCGTGTATTTTGTGTCTGATGGCAGAGAAAGTAACTTGTTATTATTGTTATTATTAATAGTTATCACCTTATTCCTTTAAGCGATGCAGAAATTGACCGCCAATCATCATATAAGTATCGGTGGTGATTTTCGTTTAATTGACCAAAATGGAAAACAAATCACACTCAGCGACTTTCGGGGAAAGTGGGTTATTCTATACTTCGGGTTTGTCAGGTGTCCCGATATCTGCCCTGAACAAATTGATCGCCTTGTTGAAATACAAGAACATTTGGGTAACTTTTGCATCTAACTCTTGACCTTTTCCCATCGTTTGTTCCATTATTAATTGTAGCGTTTGTATTTCAGCTTTTTATGGAAAAGACAAGGATTTGGTTCTTGTTTTCATTACTGTTGATCCTGAACGAGATACTCCAGCGGCTATGAAAAAATACATTACCAGTGAGTTCAAACCCACACTTTATTCATTAAAATGGTTTATCTTTTTAGCATTTTATTCGGATAGATTGGTAGGGTTGACTGGTTCTATCGAACAAATTCATGAAACTGCCAAGAAATACCGAATTTACTACAGCAAAGGCCCAAAGGATGCTGACGGCGACTACATTGTATGTTTATGAACCATTCTTTAGATTATTTTCGCCTTTTTGTATATGTTTTCAAAATGCTTCCCTCTTCTAGGTTGATCATACCGTTGTAATGTATCTCCTTGATCCGAAGGGCAACTTTGTAGATTACTATGGTCAAATGAAACCTGTGAAAGAAATAGTCCGACGAATCATGGATTTAATGAAGAATTTTGACAAATAGAAAAATTGTTATGTTCCTTTTTATCGGATATATCCATTCGTTGTGTAGCATATTGGTATTTATCTTCTCAGGAAATCTTGATATCTTTACAGTTAGTCGAAGTTTCTTGCTCCTGAGTGTGTAAAAATACAATTTAATATCGTCCTTGGTACTTTGATTATTTTTGTTTCTCCGTTTTGAATCTATAAACAATCCAGTATATTTGAGCGATTTGATTATTTATTTGTATCAAATGGCAGGCGTTCTGATAGTTATCATTAGCCCTCTATTTGTCTTCAGGCTTCACAGAGGGAAGAAACATCAAAGCGAAAAAAAGTCGAGAGGGGGGGGGGAACAGGAGAGTGCTTCAAAGACGAAGGTAGAAAAAGGGGAGGTGAGCACTGTGGAAGTAGTCGAATATGGCATACAGTGGGATCATGACAGTTTGAAGTCAGAAGTCATCTGCCCATTGATAGACTTTTGGCTGTATGAATATACGTTGCCCAGGGTGCACTACGTGGAGGTAAGTCTATCGCGCACCCCCTGTTAAATTGA